TAACGTTTACAAGAGGTACATAGATGCTCTTGCATACATGTCAGGACCTATGATGCAGAGCTCTGCCAATATGAACACTTGTTTTTTTTATTTTAAAAATAAAAGGAAAACAGACAACCTTTTACAAAACAGCAAAAGAACAGTACAGACAATACAGTTAATATAAACACTTTTGAAACAGGTGTGCAAGTATAAGCTTTATAGTATTTGCTTATAGATTAACATGGTTCAAAAGATGCGCTATTAAAGATGGGAATTTTTATACATTGGTTTTTAACTCCCGTTTTCTCTTTACCATATGGATTAGATTCAAACCTCCTAACCAACAGACGAGCTGGTGCCAACAGATGGGGAAGACAGCTGTGTGATATTCCACTTAGATGACTAAAATGTTAAATCTCAAAAAAGGCCACAGTACCAGTGCTTGGAGTAAAAATTACTTTCTGTAATTGGAGCTGTAATCATGCCAGTGATTTCGCCTCCAATGCTGCGTTCCACAGTCACGCCATGCCGTCGTGTCTGGTATCAAATGCCCCGTGTACACAGGACTCACAATTCTCTGCCGCTCTCCTTGATTCCTTCCTCTTCTGCCATGGTTTCTTTCCTCTTCCCCAGCTCTTTTGTGAAGGTAAATGTGGATTTCTGATTGCTCACCGGCAGTCTCTAGCTGTGTAAACTTCTCGTGGCCAGAGCCAACAACTTCTTTCTTCCAACATCTACTTTACATTTTCCCTGTTTAATGATTTCCATAGGTCATCAAAGCTTCAAACTTCAGAATCTTTGACTTCCCTTAGTTATTTGTGTGCCCGCCTAACTAGACACTCATCCCTGTGAAAGGTCTGGCATCTGTCTTCATTCCTACTGCAGATACTCTGTTTCAGGCCCCTTATCTCTCGCTTTCATGTATTTACTCATCGAGGACTTACGGATTGCTTATTTTGTACAGATTTAGTGTGAGATTATGTCTCATGCCTCTCTCATCAAAGGCTGAGTAAGGTGTGTTTTCTCTCTTAAACAGACCGCAGTGTTCGCAGTCCCCACTTCGAGCTGTGTCATGGGGAGCGTGCTTATCACATTTAGTGCTCATGGCAGCTCTTGGAACCAGACGGGGATATGGGCAGAGAGGTGAGGCCCGTAATCAAACCCTGATAACACAGGACACTGTGGCTGGTTCAAGTCCTGCCCGAAACACAGCAAGCCTACCTATAAACACAGAAATCCCCTTGAGCAAAGTAATACGGGAGCGGGGCACTCAGCAGCAAGCCTGTGGAAGATGGTTTAGGGCAGACTGTTTTCAAAGTGAAGAAATCTGAGTGTAAAACCTGACAGCCTGCGGTTTTCTTCTCTTGACTTTTTTTATTACCCCTAATTTGATAGCTTTGTTTTTTTAGTAACTTGGTGTCACTGAGTCTATCAAAGCATAAAAAGTTTTCATGGAAACATGGACATTTAAAGTATGTATTCTGCTAAAATTTTTGAGATAACTATAGGTTCATACACAGTTCTAAGAAATACAGCTCAATCCCATGTTCTTTTCTGCAGGTCCTTTCAGTGGTAATATCTTGCAAACTATTTTGCAGTATCACAACCAAGACAGTCATACCGGCACAGTTAAGGTACAGAGCATCCCCACCCCGCAGAGGCCCTCAGGCTGCCCTTTCTAGTCACTCCCACGTTAACCCTCCAAAACCAGAGCTCTGTTCTGTAAATTATTTTTAATTTTAAGGCAGTGGGTTGACTTTCACTCAACATACATCTCTGCAGATTCATCCAGGTTCCTGTATGTATCATTCCTTTTGTGCTCAGGAGTGTTCCATGGTATAAATGGATTACAATTTATTGAACCATTCACTCACTGAAGGATGCCTGTATTGCTTCCAGTTTAGGGCTGTAATGAATAAATCATCTGTAAACTATCATGTGCAATTTTATTAATTTATTTTTGATGGTGGTGGTGGTACAGGAGATTGAGCTCGGGAGTGCTGAGGTGCATTCCTGGCCCTTTTTACATTTTGAGACAGGGTTTCACTAAGCAGTCCAGCCTGGTCTTGGACTTGTGATCCTCCTGCCTCAGCCTGCCTCAGCCAAGTAATTTGTGATTACAGGTATTTTCCATCACACTTGGCTCATGTGCAAGTTTTGTGAGAGCATGAGTTTTCATTTTTCTGGGATAAATGCTCAGGAGTATAATTTCTGGGTCATATGTAGTTGCATGCTTAGTTGTTTTTTTTTTTTATAAGAATCTGACAAAATGTTTTCCAAAGTGTTGTACGATTGTCTGTTGTATGAATGTGTGAGTGATCCACCTTCCCTGCACCGGTGGCAGCCTTTGGTGGTTTCACTACTTGTTTACCTTATTGGAACAATTACATCACATCTGTCCTCACCCCAATACATCTTCTTTAGTGCCAGCAGATTTCATTTTTAGATACGTGCCTTAAAAATTTTGGGGGGGAGTACCCCCTGGTAGACATGTAGTAGATATTTGAATGCATCAACTTTAAGGAAGACCTTGGTTAAAATTTTTATGAAGTGTCTATTAAGTTGACTGCTAAAGTGAGGTAAGTGTTTTGTTTTTTTGGTACTGGGAATGGGACTCAGGACCTTGTGCTTGCCAGGCAGGTGCTGTACCCGCTGAGCTAAATCCCCGGCAAAGTTAGGTAAATGGATTAATGCCTAAACAAAACGGGTGGAAGACAAAGAAACAGGACAGAGTCCTGAGAAGCACATGTGTTTAGGGTTGGGTGACTGAGTGGTCAGAAGGTTGGGAATGTATCTGTAAAAGAAAACAAAAATAGCTGGGCATAGTGGTGTACACCTATTATCCCAGCACTTGGGAGGCTGAGGCAAGAGGATTACCATGAGTTCGAGACCAGCCTGGACTACACAGTGAGACCCTGTTTTAAAAAACTAAAAAAAAAAAAAAAAGATTCTGTCTCTGTCTCTCTCTCTTTCTCTATTTAAAAGAGCATATAATACAATGTCTCAGATACCTGAGAGAGACAGTGAATAGGAAGGCTAATGCATATCTCTTGCATTGTATCTAAAGGGATTACTGTTATTTGCTCAGCAGTTTCAGTGGAAACGAGGGAAGAAACCTGGGGCTACCCTTTGAAGCAGGAATGGCAGTTAAGTAGAGGTCATCACTGAAGGCCATTCTTTAGACTGAAGAGTGTAAAAGAACAAGTAATACCTAGAGAACTTTACTGAAGACAGTTTTTTCTTTAAATAGGGGAAATGTTTTTAAACTGGCTCAGTCAGTGTCAAGAGGCTGAAAATATTGAAGGAAACCTTATAAATTGTCAACAAAGAGCATATAATAATACTCCAAATCATTTTAATAAAAAGATACACAGAAGAGAGATTTATGGAGCTAGATTCTGGTGGAGACAGGCAAGAATTAACTTCCAGGGGAGGGGAGGAGGTGACTGGGGTAGGCAGAGATTAATTTATGTGCTGGTGAACTTGGCCCGGTGGCTTTCTCATTTTTGCAAAGTCCTGTGAGGTGGGGAAGGGGCTGGGAAGAGTCCAGGGTTGGAACAACCACCGAAAGAAGGAAGCTGGTGCTCATTAAAGACTGGAGTAGGATTGCTGAGTCTGAGAAAAGGATGCCTGTTGGTACAGGTGTCAGTGTTGTACAGTGGGTCAGGTAAAGGCTTGAGAAATTACTTCAAAGCGTGAAAAGGTGTAGTCAGGAGGGGTGGTCCAGGGAGAATTCAACACTGAGTTGGAGAACAGGAGTGGAATGGGGGAGAGTAGGTTCTAACTAGAAAAGAGGACATTGGAGTTAAGATTTCAGAGGTACAGGAGACAATCACAAGCTCTAAGAGAGCAGGTTAGTGAAGGAGATGAAAGGCACTATATTTCTTAAGATCCTGCAGTTTTAAGGAGTTTGCATTTTATTGTGAAATTTATGGAAAATCAAAATGATGGTATTAACCTTTCAAAAAAGACTGATGGGTGTGTGGATAATGGGTTCAAAAGGGGGTGATACTGGCAGCAATCAGAGACACAAACAGCTCATTGCTATGAAGTTTTGCACAAACTGGAGGGTCTTGTTTCAGGAGGGGAAGTTTTCTGTCGCAATTTCCACCCGTTTAACTAAACCCACTTAATTGAACTAACACCCCCACCCCTTATTTTAATTTAATTTAATTTTAACACAGGGATTCCTTAAATTGCCCAGGTGGGCCTCACACGTGCGATCCTTCTACTGCAGACTCCAGAGTAGCTAAGATTGATTGCAGGTATGCACGACTATGCCCGGCATCAAGCTATCTTGGGCTCCTGGGAAGATCACATCTTCTCAGCTATATTTTGTCCACAGTCATCGTTACTCTACGGTTACTTTTCTGGACTACAATGAGGAAAAGCTGACTTGATGTTTTTATTATGTAGAAGTTGTGGGGTCAGATATGGTTACAGTGGATGGAAGGAGTGTAACCCTTTTCCTTGCTTTTCACTACTTTTCTGAGAGGGTCTGGAAAATTTTCTGAAACTGACATTCAAATCCGTTACATCAATGTTTCTACACTCTGAAAATATATCTTTTACGTTATTTGTTCTGTCAGGCTGGATTCCTTCATGTTACCCTGAGTCGAACTCATTTTGTTCCTAAAAATCCTAGGGTTCTGCTTAAAAATACATGTTTAAGAAATGTTCAGTGAGTGAATGAATGAGCGATGGCTCCCACATGTGAGGAAACTGTGTCCTGGAGACTGCATGATCTCACGGTTCCAACAAATCTCTCCCGGAGCAGGCTCGTATGTGATGCCCAAACAGTTCTCGGGCTAACTAAAAGTGTCACTCCATCTATCTACGCTTAATTTGGAAGCAGCTGTCAGAGACAGGCGGCAGGCTCAGGTTTCTCCCACTAGGGAAGGGGCGGGAGACTGTTTTCCGTACAACAACATGGCACCTGCCTGTTGGCGCTAGGCCGCGGTGTTTCCCCCTTGAGGGGAGAAGCGGAGAGCACTCTCCGTATAGCATCATGGCGGCCGCCTACCGGAGCCGGTCATGGCCTCACGCCCGGGGAAAGGGGCTGCCGTAAAGGTGGCGCTGCTTCCTCTTCTCCTCCCGCCTCCCACCGGCTGTCGTAAAAGGGTGAATGGAGAGTTGTGGGGGGGAAAGAGGGAAGACAGGGGGCGCAGAGTCGGAGTGGCACAGCAAGTGGTTGTGGGTGGCGACGGCGGCGCGGGGTAGGGAGTGAGGCAGCGTAGGGGGCGCGGAGGAGGCGGCCGAGGAGGGCCCGCGAAAGCTGAAGCTGCAGTCTGGCCTACTCGCCCGGGGGCCGCGGAGCCCCCCGCTGGGGAGATGGACCTCAACCGGATCATCCAGGCGCTGAAGGGCACCATCGACCCGAAGCTGCGCATCGCCGCCGAGAACGAGCTCAACCAGGTGAGGCGTGCCGGTCCCCGGCCGGGCGGCTCGCGCACCTGTTGGGCACCTGGGGCGCCCGTCCTCGGCGGCGGGCAGCGAGGTGGCCCCGTCGCCCCGGTGCCGGCGCTCTCGGGACCGAGGACTCGGGGACAGACGGACGGGAAGCCCGCTGCCCGTCGGATCTGCGTGCATCTCCTCTCCAGGGCCAGCCCTTTTTAGGTGTTGCTGTGGGAAACCCTGCCCCTCGCCTCGCCTGCCTCCGCTCGCTCGGCAGCAGCTTCGACACGGACAGGCAGAGTTTGTGGGCGCTCTGGGCAGTGCTGTCCGGGCACGGCTCGGGAAGAGCAGGCAGTTTCCCTGTGTTGTAGCAAAGGCACATCAGACGTTTGGAGGGATCTCCTCTTTCTTTCTTTCTCCTTCCTTTTTATTTTAGCCGTACTGGAGATAAACCAAGGGCCTTGCTCTTGCTAGGCAAGCACTCAACTACCAACCACAGTTCCTAGCCTTTTATTTTATTTTATGGGACTGAGGCTTGAGCCAGGTCCTGTCGTGCTACTGCCCCAGCCTCTTTTATTTATTTATTTGAGACAGGGTCCCACTAAGTTGCCCAGGCCATCCTCATGGAACTTGTGATCCTCCTGCCTCATCCTCGGGGAGTAGGTGGGATTACAGACGTCTCCACCAGGCCAGGCGGTTCTTTTAAAAGCTAAAATGTGTTAAGGCTTTGTTTTATCCTCCATTCTCCGTTCTTCCTAGCTGGCCTTGACCTTGTTCCAGTGTCATCCCTGACTTTCAAAATTTTAGTGATCCCAAACACTAGTTGTTTCCCCCGCTTCATACGTGTATACACATATGTGTGAACCACTGACTCTTACTAGAAGGTTCAAATTAAGGTCTTCTCCCTGGGAAGGAGGGAAGGCGGTTTGAGGTTGTGATAACGCTAAAACATGAAAGAATATTCCTAAATTGGGGGTTCTCAAAGTGTGGCCTAGGGCCAGAAACATCAGTGTCACTGGGAACTTGTTGGAAATGCAAATTATGGGGCTTCAACCCCGACTTTAAAGAATCAGAAACCGGGGGTGGAAACCAGTTGTGTTTAACTAGCTCTCCTGGTGATTTTGGGCTCCTAAAGTGTGATAATAGCTGTCTTGAGTAAATGTTTCTGTTGGAGTTGATTCCGATAGGGCTGTGAATCTTTGAAAGGAATTATCTTAATTGGAAATCTGTGTGGAGTTTGGAGCAGATGCGCATCCAGGATTCTCAAGAGGTAAAAGCTCAGTGAAACACTGGCTGGAGCAGAAGATGTGTTGAACTGAAGCCCAGCTTGCCTCAGAAGGAAAGGACTGCCACCCAGCGTAGGGAAGGTTAAAGTCGGTGCCTGCGCCTTGCCTTCGGAGTACCAGTGCTGCGGGTTGATTGGCTGGAGGAATGGCAATTCCTGGGTTAGTCAGAAGAACAAACAAAGGCGGAATTTGAAATCTATTAGTACGAACAGGAGAGGAGGCCAGAGGTTACTTTGAGTGTGTGTGTGTTTTTTTTGGTTTTTCTCTGGTACCGGGAACCGAACTCACGACCTTGCACTTGCCAGGTAGGCGCTTTTGCTGCTGAGCTAAATCCCCAGCCCCTCCAGAGGTTACTTTGATAGTGTCAGTAGGGAGCGTATTTTTGAATACTGTCCTGCCCCTGTTAGCCTAACCTTGCTTTATTTCGGATTTATCATGAAATTAATTATTATTTATGTGAGTACAGTGGATGTTACAGGAGTGGACAAGGTAGCTAGGAAGGTTTGCAGAAGTAGGAGACTTTGAAGGCTCAATCCTATTTTTTTGTTCATAATGTTTCATTCCATTTCACCCAATCCAATCCCTTTCACCCAGTCCAATTTCATCTTCACCCTGCCCTGCCCTGTATCTACCCAACTCATCGCAGACCATTTCCCTGCAACTTCTAAGAGTAGCTTATTCATGCACAACGCCTGGGTTCACTGTAGCACTGCTAGATAGATAAAGTTAATTATCATGCTGTTTATTTAGCATTTATATTTTATATAATGTTTTGGATTCTAATGTGCTCGAAGTTTTTTGGAATTGTCTATAAGAAGACTACCAAAGTAAAATGTCACTTTTACTGTAAAACATGGTTATTTTTGTTTTGTTTTTTTTTGTGAAAGGGTCTTACTATGTAGTTTTGACTGGTTTTGAACTCATTATGTAGCTTGCAGCACCCTTCCTGCCTCAGCCTCCCAATGCTGGGATCACAGCTGTGCACCATGTTGGCTTATTGTTGGGTTTTGTATGCTTGTCCTTTTTGTGTTTTATTTATGGTACTGGGGAGTGCACCCAGGGCCTTCACACTGAGCTACATCCCAGTTTTTTTTTTTTTTTTTTTTAGTGAGACAGGATCTCACTAAGTTACTGCATCGCTCAAGCTGGGCCCGAACTCAAGATCCTCCTGCCTCAGCCTCCCAGAGTGCTGGGATTATAGATAGGCATGCGCCATTAAGCTTGCCTGTACATTGTCCTTTACCATACCGTAATATCTTACTTTGTCTGTCATACATTTTTAAAAAGTGTGTTTCTTTTGTGATGTTGGGGATGGAACTGAAGGCATGGCACACGCTAGGTGAGCACTCACCCCCTGAGCTGCAGCCCCAGCCCCAGCCCCAGCCCCAGCCCCAGCCCCAGCCCCAGCCCCAGTGCTGTGCTCTCTGCTGGTCTCCCGTCCAGGAGGTGGGGCGGCTCCTGCAGGGCGCTCACTGATTGGCCAGTTGCTTGTGAGCCGGGGAGGCAGCCTCATCCCAACAGCCTGTGTTCCCAAGGATGAATTCTCCTCGGAAGGTCTGTTTTGTCAGGCCACATTTTTCTCTCACCAGCGACTGGTTTCCTGTCTGCCATTTGTGGCAATGTTTCTATGAGAAATGGATTTTCAGTTTTTTCTCAGGATGCTGAGAGTGAATCTTGTTGCCTTCCTCACTTTTTCTCTATCAGAAGTCCCCATGGCTTCGTAGCGGGTAGTGCTAGGTGTCTTGCTTAGTAACTCATTCACAAAGTTGTCTTTCTCTAATAAATCATCCTCCACTTGTTCTCAACAGGGAAATAAAGATACTCATTTCCAAGTTTTGGAATCTCTGCTTCCCATGTAGCCGTAGGCATCTTTTTCTTTTATGCTAGGCCCAAGAGCTAAACCCAGGGCTCAACACATGCTTGACAAATGTCCCACTGAGCTACGCCTCCTCCAGCCCATCATGCTGTTGCACTTTAGGAGTCTTCTTATATGAGTCATGTATTTGTTGAGCTATAGTACAGGCGGTGCTTTCGTGAGGGTTACATGCAATGGGCTACAGAGAGGTTACCCGCGCCCAGAGGCGGTGCCCGAGAAAGTGTGTGGGGACGCTTGAGCAACTGTGACAGAGCAGAGGGGACAGCAAGCTCAGGAAGACCCTCCACGCAGCGCGTTGGACACCAGGAAGGGTAGTGCAGTTGGAGCAGTGAGTCAGAAAATGGAAAAGCAGCAGGACTTCACTCTATTCTGGTTCTCATAAAGTGCAAAATTTAGCTAAGCAAGAAAACTTTCTTTCAGAAAACTTCACAGACACAAAGTAAATATCCCAAACAAACCGTTGAGAAATAAGTCATCTTATTTTGTTAGAAACTTGGAGCTCAAAGAGGGGCAAAGCCATTGGGTAATATTTGTGAGGAAAGCTGTATGAGAATATATTTAAATTCACCCCCTGAAAGCTTCAGCTGCCAAATTAACACAGATTCAATCCAAACTGGAAGAGGACATCTCAGCAGTTTTGAAAGTGGCAAGCAAAAGGTATATAACACCAGCGACTGGAAATTCAATAGCTACTTTTAAATAAGTAGCTTAATGTTAATGTAAAGGTTTTTTTGTATTTATCTATGGTAAGAAAAATAACTAAACCCAGTTTTTACGATTGGAATGAACTATATGTGTTTTATTTTGATTTATTGCAAGATCTTTCTGTAAAAAGTAATAAACGCCAATTGTTATATAATGTATATGTGGAATTTATAGAAAATTTGGCTGAATGTGTATTAATTTTTTTCATGTAAATTGCTGTTAAAACAAATCTGTTTTTAGAAATACCTACCTTAAAATTCTGGTAGTTTCAATTAAGGATAAAAAAGAATTTATCTTGAGTAAAACAGATTTAAGACTCTGAAGATTGTGTATGAAAGGAAGAATAATTACAAAGTAATTGAAAATTTTATTGAAGGGTATGGAAAGACTTAAAAGGCAGTGTTCCTAGGTGGAAAGGATCAGTACTTTTTTTTTTTGTCTTTTTGAGTCAGGGTCTCACTATGCAGTTCAGGCTGGCCTTGAGTTCACTTTGTAGCCCAGGCTGGTCTCAAACTCGCAACAATCCTCCTGCCTCAGCCTCTTGAGTGCTGGGATTACAGGTGTGTGGCACCACCATGCCCGGCTCAGGATCAGTACTTTGAATATGTCAGTTTTCTCCAAATTAAATTTTTATTGTTTAATGTTTTCTCAAGCATTTCCCTTAACAAATGCTACTGGAAATAAATTAATAGGAAGTGATTAAGTAAAAGCATGACTGGGGTGCACAAGCCTAGATGTGTATTGAAGGGGATGATGCATAGACCCAGGCTCTGTCCAGGAGAAGGGAAGCTGAGTGCTCTGAGATTAGGACTCTGTTTCAGGAGTGTCTTGGGAGAGGCCCCGTGTGGGCTCTGGGATTGCGGCAGGGCTGCAGGGGAGCCTAGGCGCAGGACCTCTGCACAGGGCATGGTCAAAAGGAGCAGGCTGCTCTGTTTTAGTTTTTTGTTTTTTGCTTCTGAGGTCATGATGGCCAAACTTTGGAGCAGACCAAAGTGAAACCTGCCTGTAGGGTGAAATGACAGGCAGAAGGGCTGAGCAGGAGCTCCATCAGCACTGTCTCCATAGACAGCGTGAGTTTAAAAGACTCCAGTAGCAGAGGGCAGCTGTGAGCACAGCGTTTGGCCCTGGCTTTTTGTGAGTCGCCGTGCTCAGTGTGGACGGGCTCCTCCCCTTTGCTTGCACACTGCTGAACTTCATCTGGCTGTTGTGCTGTGTCGGAGCACCCACGGTCAGTAGGTGACATTTTTTGTTTCCTGTTTTCGTGCCATCGACAGAATTGAAGTGCAAATAATCTGGGAAGAAACACTTGTGATGTGTAGGTCAAATACAAGGCTGAGACTTTAAATTCATAAATAGTTTTAGAATTAAGAAAAAAAGCCAAATATCCCATTTACAAAGGGATAAAGCATAAAAGGATTTGTAGAGGAAACACAACAAAAAGGGAAACAACAAACTTGCAAAAACACAACAAAATACCCTCCCCCAACAAAAAATAACCTGCAGCTTCCTTAGTAGTAGAGGAAATGTAATTTCAAAGGTTTTAAAGTTTCAGAGGAATGCTAATACTGTACCTATATTAGATAGATGGACACTCACATACTACTGCTGGGAGTATAAATTGGTGCACTCATTCTGGAGAGCATTTTGACAAATGAGCATAAAAGGAAATTATTTTGACTTGAAATATTTTAGTAATCTTTGTTTATCATTGGAGAAGTTCTCTCACATTAAAAGTTTCTCTTTCATTTGCCTAGTAGTGTATTCAGTAGTAAGTGCCAATAGCTATTTGTGTATATTGCCTTTTTTAATAAAAACATTTGTTTGTAATTTCAGTCCTACAAGATTATCAATTTTGCCCCCAGTTTACTTCGGATTATAGTCTCTGACCATGTGGAATTCCCAGTACGCCAGGCAGGTAAGTTGGTTTTCTTTTTTTACCCTTTATGAATAATTTATTTATAGAAAAATGCTAAATATCTATACTTTCTAAAAAAATGAAGCACCCATGAAATGTTTCCAAGGCATAAAAGCTCACTTGCTTTCATCATGGAAATGTAGAGGTAGGTACTGAGCACTCACACCTTCCCTGGCTGCCGCCGCCCTGCTTCCACCCACCAGTTCTGTCCGTCTGTGACATCAACCTTTTCTCCTTCAGCTTTCCCCACTTCAGTAGCTCGTCTCCCCAGTACCCTATGGTTTCCCCCTAGCCTCACCTTCGGGCTTATAGATGAAGATTGTGGATATGTATATGTGTGTGTGTCAGTTGTTTATCCACCTGGTCTTACAGCCGACCAGGAGCTGCGGAAGCAGCCACTGCCTCGCACCACGACAGAGTAGTCGCCACACGCTGTGAACCCCAGAAAGGAGCAGAATGCAGAATTTCAAGTTCATATTGCTTCTGCATGGCTGTAAAGTAAAAGTATAAGTTAAACCATGGTAAGCCATAGTATTCATTAGATGAATATAGAACAATATGAAATACAAAGAAGAAACTAAAATTCTTTATCACTCAGAAGTGACCATCATTGACATTAGGTGAATATTAGTCTTGATGTATTCAGGTGGAAGGTATTTTTATAGATATAAGATCCTAATCTACTGGCTGAGAAAATGTTTAATTTCATTTGAACATAGAAATAAAGACGAAAGGAATTACTAAGCTTTGGGAAAATGTTTATAAAAATACACAGTGTCACTCACTTGACAGGGACATGTTCTGAGAAACAAGTCGATAGTTTTGTGCTTGTGCAAACAGCAGAGTGTTGTTACACAAACCCATGTACATAGTATGTTAAGGCCTACCACACACCTAGGCGATGCAGTGTAGACCTTTGGTTGTGTAGTCTTCTTTTCATGGAAATGTCATTATGTTTTTTTGTTTTGTTTTGTTTTCCCGGTACCGGGAATTGAACTCACGACCTTGTGCTTGCCAGGCTAGCGCTGTGCCGCTGAGCTAAATCCCCAGCCCTGAAATGTCATTATATTGTCAATCACTGTATATGATTTCCTGAAAGATTCCTTTGTGATTAAGGTTAAAAACAAAAAAAAGAAAGAAAAACTGTGGGCAAAAATTCATTTTTGATTTACTTTAGTGAGGTATATAAGGCTTCTGTTTAAATTTTTGCTACTGTCTCAGTTTAATCTTTGTTATAAAGTAGGGCTATTCTGAAATTACATTTTGCTTGATCAAACTATTTTAATAATCTTAAGTAGTCATAGTGCCGTGTGTTTTTATGAAGCTTTTTAGAAATAACATTTAAAAAATCTTAATTATCATGTTGTTTATATGACATAAATGCTACAGAAACAGTTTATACATTAGGTTGCTCTTAATAGTCTCAATTAGGTTGCTGCTGTCAAATTTGGTGCATAGTTGTTTTCTGTTTATATTATACATAAATATAATTCCTTGAGGTGCAGGGGATACAGCTCAGTGGCATAAGCACCTGCTGGCAAGCACAAGGTCCTGAGTTCAATTCCCGGTACCAAAAAAAAAAAAAAAATTCCTTGGGGATTAGTCCATGTCACTGCATATACATATGAGGTGTGATACAAATATACGATGAATGTTTAAGTTAAAATGACCGCAGCAAAAGATGCATCACCATTAATCCTGCTCAAAATAGACTGCCTCTCTTCAAACACACTTCTCCCATCTTCCTTGCCACTTTTTGAAACAGTTCTGGAAGTCATCTTTCACGAAATGTCTTTACGAGGTGTGATCAAAAATACTGTGAATGTTGTGGCTGAGTGCCATCCAGCAGCAAGGCAGGGTCATAAAAATATTAGTGTCCTCATCTGCCTTACCAGATCTAGCTCTTCGTCAGAATCAAAATGACCATAAAGGTTTTGAATTCATTCAGGACAGTAGGGCAGTCATGACAGTGTGACTAATACACTCATGAAAGGGGACTTCCAGAACTGCTTCCAGAAGTGGGATTAAAGAAAACCTAAAATCATAAGTCTGTTTGATGTGAGGGGAGAGGTATTTTGAGGGAGACGAATGGCAATTTGTCTTTTACTGTAATATATAAATTTAAAAAAATTTATATATTTATCATACTTTTAATCACATCTTGTATACTTCTTTATAATAGCTACCCTGTATTTATTTGTATAGAACTACCATTTCTTATTTATTTAAAAATTTTTTATTAGTAGAGTTTGAGTTTGATTCTTATCTGCTCTGTTATGCCTTTGCTTGGTAGATTTTTCTATAAGAAAGGTTTCCTGTGCTCTGTCATATTTTACTTAATGTATAAAATATTTATGGACACTATCATTTCCTTCTTTTAGTTTTATTGGTATATATTTTCAGTGCATAATGATTACATTCATCCTGTGACACCGATATGTGTACATAACAGAGATTAATTCTGTTTATATCCCCTTCCTCCTTCCCTCTTCCCTGTATCTCTTGATCTCCTTCCCATTTGCAAAAGATCTGTCTCCCTATTTTCTATTATTGATCTTACTCTTTAATTTATTTATATGTTGGGTTTCTCATATAACACAAACCATACAATATATAAACTTGTGTGTTTGATTTACTTCACTTAACATTATTGTCTCAGGTATATTTATTTTCCTCCCGATGACTGAGTTGTCCTCCTTTATGACAGGGTCGTCCTCCATTGTATGTATGTACCATGTGTTCTTTATCCACTCACCTGTTGATGGACATACAGGCTGCTTCCGAGATTTGGCTGTTATGAATCGTGCTGCTATAAACTTGAGTATACATGTATCACTGTAATATGATGTTTTTAAGTCTTTTGGGAGAATACCTAGAAGGGAAATACCTAAGTAGAATGACATTTGGATTTTTAGGTTTTTTTAGCCATCTCCACACTGATTTCCGTAGTGGTTGTACTAGTTTACACTTCCACCAACAATGTGGAAGGGTTCCTTTTTCCTTGCAGCCTTTCTAGTGTCTATTATTGATAGCCATTCTTTCTAGAGTGAGATGGAATCTCAGTGTTAATTTGCATTTGTCTACTGGCCGGGGATGTGGAGCATTTTTTCACATGTATATTGGCCATTTGTACTTTTTTTGTTTTTGTTTTTTAGAGAAGGTCTCGCTGTGTAGTTCAGGCTGGCATTGAACTTACTATGTAGTTGAGGCTGGCCTGGAACTCGTGATTCTCCTACCTCAGCCTCCTGAGTGCTGGGATCACAGGCATGTGCCACCAGACCCGGCCACCATTTGTACGTGGCCAAATTTTTTGATGGGATCTTTTATTTGGGAGATCTAATTTTTTTTTAGTTCTTTATATATTCTAGATATTTGTCCTTTGAAGAGTAGCAGGTAGGTTTTTTTCCCTCTTCATTCTGTTGGTTGTTTCCTTTGCTGTGCAGAAGCTTTTTAATTTGATCTGATCCAACTTGTTGATTCTTGGTGTTATATGTGCAACTGAGGTCCTGTTCAGAAGGTCCTTGCCTATGCCTATGTCTTCAGGAATTTTACTTATTTTTGTTTTCCAGCTGATTGTTTCTGTTTTAATATTTAGATATTTGATCCATTTTGATTTTAGTTTAGTGCATGGTGAGAGATAAGGGTCCAAGTCCAATTTTCTATATGTGGATAGCCAGTTTTCCCAGCGCCATTTGCTAAAGAGGCTTTTTTTTTCCTTCAGCATATGTTTTTGACTTTTGTCAAAGATCACATGGCTGAATGTGCTTGAGGTCATTTCTCCATGCTCTATTCTGTTCCATTGATCCACTTGTCTTTTTTTTTTTATGCCAATTTCATTGTTGTTTTTATCACTGTAGCTTTATAATCTAACTTGAAATCTGGGATTGTGATGCTTCCTGTTTTGCTTTTGTTGCCCAGGTTTGCTCTTGCTGTCCTGGGCCTCTTCTGGCTTCATATGATTTTGGGATTGTTTTCTCTAGTTCTATAAAGAATTCTGTTGGTGTTTCGATTGGATTGCATTAAATCTATATATCAATTTGGAAGTATGGCCACTTTGGTAATATTGGTTCTGTCTATCCAGGGGTAGGGGATATCTTTTCATTTTCTGATGTCCTCTTCAATCTTCTTTTTTAGGGTACTATGGTTTTCATTATAGAGATCGTTCACTTCCTTGGTTATGTTAATTACTGAGAATTTAGTTTTTCTTGATGGTGTTTTGAATAGTATTGTTTTCCTAATTTCATTCTCAGTGAATTCATTATTGGTATAGAGGAGCACTATTGATTTTTGTGTGTTGATTTTGTATCCTGCTACGTTGCTGAATTTGGTTTTTATTTATTTATTTTTGGTTTTTGAGGCAGGGTTTTGTTGTGTAGTTCAGGCTGGCCTTGAACTCACTATGTAGCCCAGGCTGGCCTCAACCTGGAAGCAATCCTCTTGCCTTAGCGTCCTCAGAGCTGGGATTACAGGTGTGTGCCACCCTGCCTGGCTGAATTTGGTTTTTAATTCTGGGAGTCTTGGTGGAATCTTTTGGGAATTCTATGTAGACAATCATGTCATCTGCAAAAAAAGATAATTTGATGTTTTCTTTCCTGTAAAATGTCCCTTTTATTATTTTCTCTTGCCTGATTGCTCTACCTACTGTTTTAAGTACTATATTGAGTAGGAGGGGTGATAGCGGATATCCTTGTCTTCTTCCTGATTTTAGAGGAAAGCTTTCAATTTTTGCCAGTTTCATATGATGTTGGCAGTAGCTTTGTCATAAATGTCTTTTGTCTGATTGAGATAAGGTCCTTCTATGCCTGTTTTCTTCAGTTGGTTTTTTTTTTTTAAATCATGAATGTATGTTGGATTTTGTCAAAGGCTTTTTCTGTATCTGTTGAGATAATCATATGGTTTTTGGTTCTGTTTCTGTTTATGTGTTACATTATTGACTGTTATGTGTTGAACCATCTTTGCATCCCTGGGATGAAGCCTAGTGTCATGATGTATGATCTTTT